TTCAGTTCTGCTTGGCGTTGTATGGAGAATATATATCGACATCTTATAGTTTCGTTGTGGATTGAGAATCTTTTTATAAGTGATAGAACTCAAAAGCTTGATTATTCATTATTATGGGACTAAACAAAAAAGCTTACTTATTCTTTAAAGAGAAGGACATGGTTTTTTCTAAAGATAAATATATTGACTCAAGGTCTGATATCATGGAGCTGCGTGAAGAAAATTTATTTCCTCTATTGCCATTGTTCACTGTGTCTGTAAAGATGGAACTGTGTGAGACTTTGTTCTTCATCATTTAACGTATGCTGGTGACTTTCACGACAGACAATAGTGATCTTACTGCTGGTAGAAATGGAAGCCGATAAGAACAGGTCAAGTGCTGTTCTATGTAGTATTATTATACAGTAAAATTTTTGTATACGACTGTATTGTTGAAAAAGCTAAAAAAAGATCATTTTATATCAGGTTTGTAAACAGCATTTCATGCAGATGTCTGCTTCTTGTCTATGTAAGTATATACATCTACTTCAGCAAAAAGGAAACAGTTCTCTTTGATCTCTGTACTTAAGAAAAGTCATTTGGAGGGGTTTTTTTCACCAACTTCATAGAGCACAAGAATGATTGAAAAATGGATTTGCAGTACCATCTGTACAACTTCTTTCTCTCCGCTAGTGAAATGTCTCTCTACATCTGAAATTCAGCAGTGTTTTAGTCTGGGAATATTTGACTTAACTCTGCAAACCATCAAGTTAGATCAACTTAAAAAATTGCAAACACCATTTACCCTTTTATTTCATTTAAGCTAAATTGATAAAGCTTTAAGTGAAATTACATTAAACTTTATATGTTTGTGCTATTTTTTGACAGACTTAATGTCTGAAAACTTAAGTCTCACTTTTTCTAAGTTTTTCACACTGCTAAAGGAGAGGAAACAATTCTCAGAGAAAGTGTAGATGTGCAACTCTAACAAAGGAACACTTGCATATATGAACTCTTTTTCTGGCATTAATTATCACACTGGGTAGATCTTGTGGTCATGTTCTGCTTTAAGATATTCTGTGTTCATAATTTTACATACTTCCTATTGTGCCAGTCATGTCTTTCATTCTGTTACTTCATAGTCTCTATTCTTTGAATGCTGTTGTGTTTGGCAAAAAGAAAAGAAGAAAAAAACACAAACGCCCCGCCACCACCTTCCACCCCTAATTCTGGAAAGTCCATACTGATAAATGTAGGTTTTCTCAATTGTACATCAAGTTGCAGTTCTTCAGTTGTGATACAGCATTTTCTGGCAAAATGAAGGCAGCCTTGCAGGGCTGCTTTGGCTGTGTCTTCTGGAAAGCTGTTCCATTACGTTTTTACAAATTGAATGGAATAAATATTTACTGCTGCAATGAAAGTTTTACATACGTACATTAGGCTTTGAATAAATAAAAAACTTTGAGTATATCACATGTAAATACTGATGGATCTTCTTTCAAAGTGTCCACCCTGGGATGTGTGGTTCAAAAACATTCCCTGAAGTGCTGAGGTGCATGTGTCTTCACAAAACGTGTGCAGCTCATTTGAACGGCTTTGTGGATTAGATGACTGTTGTCTTTACAACACTTCCTAAGGTCTCTCTAGTAAAATAAACAGAAGACAAACAACTTTTGTTTAAACAGTGCTCCAGATGAGTACAAGAGCAATTTATGCTTTCTCTTGTATTTGTGAGTGATGATCTTTAATATTCAGTGTTCTTCAACAAAGAACACAGTAATTCTGTTTGTCATTTCTTGTTATATCAGAGTAGCCTGAATGCCCTGCTTTTGATTACTAATTTTTAAGTCCTGGGGCTCTGGCATGGACTTAACTAAGTTGCTTTTAAACGCTCTTCAACTTTCAACTTTACTGTCTGTGAATTATTGTGGTGTTGAAGATTCAGTAGGCTAAAGCTTCACTGTGGTGTGCGTCAAGAAGCAGAGGTTAGGGGGAGAGGTACCATTACTTGAAATAGAAAAACCAATTCATTCCAAGGAATAATAACGTATTTGTGTGTATAATAAAACTTAACCTTTCCTTGGTTTTGCTGTAAGAAAGAGTAGGAATGAATTTTCCTTTAATGTAAAATAACAGTGAGCAATTGATTGTTGCCTTGTGTATTGAAGAGGAATATTGCTTGCTTTTTGGGGGGATTCTGTATTTCTTTCCTGATGGTTAGTTAAGAGAATGTTCTTTTGCTCATTGCCCTTAATTGTGCTTTTGCACCGATTTTGAGCAATCGACCTAGTACCTGGGAAGAATTCCAGTTGTATTTGCTGGTATTTAACCAGGTAGAAGACAGAAGTAATGATAAGCTCTTAGACTTCTTCTGAACTTTCAGATTCTGTTGTCTTTACTAGATTCGCAGGACATGGAGAAACCTTAGAGACACAGATTCTGCTTTTCCTTAGTATGCACGTCATTATCATCACTGCGTTAGTTTGAGCTGAGCAAGTCTTCTCCCTAGAAAACTTGAAATATGTACTGAACTTTACAGATGTTCAGCACTTTATTTCTGCAGCTGAGCACGTTTTTGTTGCCAAGTCAGGGCTTGAAATAGTTACACTAGTGTGCACGTTTGCTACAAATCCAAAACCTTTTTCTAATCTCTTTACGCTGCCTGAAAGTGATGAGCACTGCTGCTACTACCTGGCTGAGGATTTCTGTTGCAGGTGTAGTTGAATACTGCTGTAATGCTGCCTCTGGCTTTTCACGTGTCCTGGCGCAAAAGAAAAGGACAGGCATCACGACTGCACCTTCTAGCCTGTGTGTTCTGGAATTCATGTTGCTTAAATGCTAATGTTAATAATTTGGAGAGCATGTGGATGTAACTTCTAAGGGAGTCTTTGTGCAGGTCGAACAGAATTAGGCTTGGTTTTCAATTTGCTCTTCCAGAGCAGCTCTTGGTATTTTTAGTTCACACCTGTAAGGCATAAGAATGGCCTTGGAATCGAGTCGCTTTCAATGTTAAGAAAGAGGCTAATTTCTTTATTCCCCCTTCTACAGACTGAAGTTTCAAGCTGGAAGCTTACCAAGTTTTTCACCCCATAGGACAGAAAGCAGCGACAACTGAAAGTGACACCAGAAAAATGGAGTAGAAAATAAGGCCTATTTTGTTTCTCTGCAGTTGAATATTTGTCTCTGGAAAGGACCTAATGAACCATCAACTCCTATATCCTGGTGCCACCAGCAGTCACTTCATATAGGTCTTTTCATAAACTTATGTTCCCTCATCTTAGGTATTTTGTGCTAGATAGCCTTATTAGAAAGCTTTTTAGAAATTCTTGGTTTTGAGATGACGGAACCTTCAGATTTCTACTCTAGCTGCTTTCACACCTAGCCTTTACTCACCACATCTTTAACCAACATACATGGGTTTTCCATTTCCCATGGTCGCTCTGGTTTTACTTCTGTGTATCTGATCTCATTTGACTTCATTTTTCTTGAGCACAGGTGAACAGAATTGTAAGGAGTACTCTGGATGGGATCCTGTCAGGTCCTATTAATACTCGCCTATGTTCAAAGCAAATGCCTCTCCTAATGCATCCAGGTGTTGTATATGTCTTTTTCCCTTTTTGTGAAACTCCGGTTCAACCTAAAATCTTGCCTTAAGTGTTGGCCTGACGTTCTAAATTGTCAGCTTAAGTAATCAAATATTTTGGTTGATTTAGTCTCCCACTACCATAGCTGAAATATCTTTAACACGTATCCTTTTCTTACTGCTGCTTCCTCCTTTTTTTTTTTTTTTTGTTGTTCTTGTTGAAAGTAGATGAATAGCCAGAAAACCTTCTATTTTTACTTCTCAATTTCTATTCCTTTTTGACAGGTCTAAGTAGTTTTATCTTTTGATCTTACCTTAGCTTTAGGTTTTCAAACTTCACAGGTGTGTTTTTTCACTGGTCTCTCATCCTTCTTAGATACTCCGTGCTTAAACATGCATCTTTTGAGGGAGATGAGGCAGAGATTATCAACTAATTACTACTGGGATAATTCTCTAGAATACTTTCCCTCATTTCAGGTAGAAATCCCAGTTTGATTTTTGTACTTTAATGTGGATTTTAAGTTTGTAAGCTCCAATTTGGTTCTGTTTGCTTTCGTAACTAGTGCCTTTAATTTTTCCAACCTTTTCCATTTGCAGTTAAGAACTTTTTGGGGGGGATCTTGGGGTTTTTTTTCCTCCCCGTTTCCAGTAATAGGAAGAGAGCCAGATTTAGACAATGCAAGATGTCATTAGGCAGGAAGAACTGGCAAATAAAAGCATGAAGAGGGCAGAATAAGAAGCCACAGCAGTGGACGAGGCATGGAAAAGAAGAGAAAGGACTAAATTGTGATGTGGCTTGGGAGAGAAAGGAGGTATAGGGACTAAATGGGGAAGAGTGAATGGTTTTCTGCCAGTTTAGTGAACTGAGTTACTCATATGCACACTTAACTGCCAGGACTGCTTCAAAGATTGGTGCTCAGGGGTGGTGGGATTCTCCCGTAGTTAGGCTCAGCCAACATTTGAAACATTTGGTGTAAGTGATGGCCTAGAACTTGTCAGCTGCTACAGGAAGAGTGAGTTTTGGAACGCTTTTGGAAACCGTAGTGTTTATATCAGTGGAGGTGGATTGACAAGTGAACAGAGGGGGTTCCAGAGGGGAAAGAAGTAATTCTTGGGCATAACTTCACTGGTGAAGTTGCTGGGTTTTCTGATCAAGTAACAAGAGTCATGTAAACCTGGATGGAGGGGAGAGGCTTTGACCAATATTTTTGCAAAATGATACAAGCATGACAGTAAGGCCTTAAGAGCATTGAGGTAAGAGACTAATGCTTCTAAACATAGTAAACGTTGCGTGTAGAAACCGTATACTTAAACATAACAAAAGACATTTATGATTGTTTGAATGTCATAATAATTTTCAAAGCAAAACACTGTTTGGCTTTGTACTGTGGTATAATACCATCTAACTTTCTCATGCTTTTGTCTGTGTTTTCTCCAGGAGATGCTCTAGTTGCTGTAAATGATGTTGATGTGAACTCTGAAAACATAGAAAGGGTTTTGTCTTGCATTCCAGGTCCTATGCAGGTACAGTAGTTGAACACCTATTCCAAATGTCCTCTGTAAAAAATTAATACCGTTTCTAGCCTTTTTCCCTTAGGAAAGAGAACTTAGGCAGTCTTTTTATTAGAACTTCCTCAGCTACTTTTTGAACACATTTGATTGACTTCAGTCAAACTTCAGAGTAGAAATTTGAGAGTTTTAATTCTGGTAAGTTTTGTGAAAATAGGTAGTTGCAACTAAGTGACTCAAGCCAATGTCCAACTGTTACATATTCTGTTTGTCATCAGCCAGAGTCAGAAAGCACGTGCAACGTTGTACAAGAGGTAGTGGCATACTTGTAGGTTTAGACTAATTGTAATGCCTGATTTATTTATTTTTTTGCCCAATGTGAGAATCAAGGTATTCTGTGCTTGCAGAATTCTGAGTATTTGGGTTTCTCTATGAGAAATAGTACATACATAAGTGAAAAATCAAGTTTTATTATTTTTCCTGCTCAGAAAACAGCTTCATTATTGTGTTACCACTTGCATAAAATTTAATTACTTCTTGTTGAATACAGGGAAGGAACTCCTTTGAGACCTGCACAAACTTTTAAGCAGCTATAGTTGTAGTTATGGGCAAAGATAGCAAGTATGGTTGCTTTGAGAGTTGTTATTTTGAACACCCTGATCTCAGCAAATGAAGGACAAGGTATATAATACTGCGATGCCCTGCTCCTGGTGGCTAATAGGGCTGGAGATGTGCAGTCTGGCAATAGCACGTGTGAAGCAAGATACTGAGGTCTACCCTAAAAATAAATGTCAACTGCGGAGTAGTAGTGGCTTTTTGTCAATTACCATCTTAAAATGGTAATAATTGTTATGGAAATACTGAAATAAAATAATTATCTCTTCATCGGTATAAGAGAGACTCAAATGACAAGAGAGAAGCCTGAATTAACAAGTACTGCTATTAAAGAATATTTAAAAGCATTCAATTGGAGAAATTAATACTGCTTTCACATTTAAATAGAAAAAAAATTCTTGAGTATTTAAGAGCTTTTAAATCAAATACTTCTAAGATCTTTCAAAACTGAACAGTGATAAAGATTGAAAGTAGTCAGTGATAAAAATTGACACAAAAAACACACCCCCAAAACGTGATCAGTAATGTTTCTTCCCCCCCCAAACCTACTGCATATATCTTCTCTTCTAGCTGAATAATAATTTTGGAGCTATGATGGAGAATTAAACAACTAATAAAGAATTAGATAGCTATTTCAGAATTAAACTAGGACAGTGTCAATTACCTAGGATGTTAGTAGCATAAAATTAAGTATTTTGAATTATTCTGCTTAAATCCACTTCTTGGTGGACAGGAAGACAAGGTACAAGTTGCAATGTAGATGTGAGATGGAGCAGGTTAAAATTATAGTGTCTCGTACAGTATGTCTGTAACCTCTTGGTAGTTTTTCTACAGGTAGAATATATGAGGTGATAATAATAGAAATGTTTTACTGTCCAGAGATAAAAAGAAGTGCAAATTTTAGGTTTTGTTAAACATGCTCCTGTTCACAACTTACGTAGTAGAACTACATCTGCAACTGCAGTAAGATTGAGTACTCGTATGTCAGTTTAGGAAGCTTTCCAAGATATTTGACAGTATGAAGCTTGCCTAAGCTACCAGAGTTGTGGTCAGGTATTGGCAGAGCTCCATGGTAGAAAAACCTTGTCTTGCGTGTCTTTGACCAAATATGGAGTTGCTGTAACTGTTATTAAATACAGAATGATTAAAAAAGCAGAGATTATATAGTTTATCTAATTGTATCCGTGCTAGATTAGAGTATACATATTACTTGTTGCTAAAATGCAATGCAACCCTTTATATAGTAGTTACTTTTAATGCAACATTAATGTTTATGTTGTCAGTAAATCTGTCAAGTAGACAGTGATTACTTGAAATGTAAAACTGTTTGTCATGTTGGCTTTCCAAACCTTTTATTAAAGTGCAATTATTCCTTTTTTTTACTGTGCAGTTTGAGTCAAGCCAGAAGAGTGATTGCTGAAATAGACCAGTGGAGAATTTAAATACAGAGTTCAGGGGTTTTTTTGCAGCGTAGAACACTGTGTTCATGCGGCTGAAGAAACAGAGGGTTGTTGTTTCTGAGATTTAGTAATAAAGACAGCTGTTACACAAGCAAAATTGTTAATCTAGTCTCATTCATCATAAGTTGCAAAATAACAAAAAAGATGTTGTTTAAAGCCATTTTACTGTAGTTATAAGTTACTTACATAAGCAAAGTCAATGCTCTTCCAGCTTCAGTGTTAAAAATTACTGGAAGTCATTTCAAAAACTTAATTATGTAGATTTTCTCAGTGGCAGAATGTGGTATAACATCTCTCATAATATTTCCAGAATTTGGTTTTCCTGACCTCAGTTCAGGCAAACTAGCTTCTAGGCATGTGAGGGCTAGTTTAGTGTATGTATTGAGCAATAGAAGTCCAAATCCTACATCAGTCTTTTTTTAATGGCAGAACCGTTTCTGTTTGGGTGCTTGCATGTCACCTCCTAAGATAAAGTCCTAATTCCGATTAAAGCATTGCATACCCTATTCAGAAGTTCTATAGCAGTCACTGAGTGTGACAGGACAAAGCATATACCCCTCAGTCAATGCTTGATATAGTATGATAAAGTTATATTCTGCAGTCTACACAATTTTACATTCCTGCAATCAAAGTAGCTGCTGTTTCCTATCACCACAGGACAGAGAAGACAGAATAGAAAGGGGAAGATATGCTAGAAGAATATATTTTTCCTTACCCTCATACCCGGAAGTTGCAGAACTATTTTACCCAAAACTTTCTGAAAATATTCAGCCTGAGGCAGACATTCAGAATCAGAAATTTCAGCCTGAAATTTTGAGTTACAGTTGAAAACCATAAGCACATGGAAACCAGAGACTTAAAACAGGAAATGGCAGGCAATCTTAAAAGGCAGGCAATGCCACCAGCTCTGTCTATAATAAAATCCATATTCTAAGACATACAGCTTTCTTGCAGATAAGCAGAAAGCATGCCTTTCTGGGGCAGACCAACAGTCTAACAGCTACGTTTGCTTTCCTTACACTGACAAATGTTTAAGTAAAGAGTATTAAGAAACAAATTAAATACAGAGTGACCTTCCCATCATACTTTTCCAGCAGTCAATAGTTAGGGTCTGGTTGGATCACTTATAGGTTTGTACCTTCTCCTTTTTTTAATCTAGTTCTAAAAATTCCTTTGACCTCCACAGCATCCTGTAGTAGTGATTTACACAACTGATTTGCATTATGTTCATTTTTGTTGGTTTTCAAACTGCCATCTAATTAAGTGTGTTTCATACCCCCAGGTTCCTGTGTTATGAGGACTAGCTAACTGTCCATGTCTTATTATTCTTTGTATCGTTCCATGACTTTGGAGAGCTCTGTCATGTTTCGCTTCTGTCACATCTTTCCTAAGTGGGAAAATCCCCATCTATGTACCTCATAGTTTGCTGTTACTGTCACCTTCATCAGTGCCTTCTTGCAGTTTGAGTAAACTTTTTTTGAGAACTGTTCTAAGTACTGAGAATGTGTGCATGCTATGCATTTATAGAGTGGAATACTAATACTTTCTGTGCTTTTCCTGTTCTTCATTTCCTTTTCTGGTGTGCAGTGAACTTTATTTTCTTTAGAATTTTCTTTAGGAGCAATGGAATGGAAGTTGTGAAAGATTTAATAGTCAGTATTTACAAAAGGGTACTTCAGTAGTCACATATTTAATCAGATCCTGTGCACTCCTCAGGATGAAGATTCATTTCTCTTCCACAAAAAAAAATAAATGTTTTTTTAAGGTATGTAGAAATACAGTCTCTTGATTATTTTCTGTTACAGCATTTTCCAGCCTAGATGGTGTTTTTCACTCCTAAGTTTTTTTGAAGGCAGGAAATAGATTAGAACTTGGGCAAAAGTAGAGAGGAACAGAAAATGTCATGTTTCAAGCTGCTAGATAGAATCAAGAAGATTTGGAAAGGAACTTGTAGTCAAATTGTGAGGGGAGATCTTTCTTAAAATACGGTGACTTCACATCTGAGTGATGTGGCCCACGGTGATGTGGGAGGCAGCATGGATGCCTACAGGATGAGAGAGAGTTAAAGTTCTCTGTGGCCCAATTTGTTTTGAGCTCTTGCTTGGCGGGCTGTATGGTTGTCTCTGAAGCAAGACAGACTGTGTTTGTTGGGTTGGATTTTGGTTTGGTTTTTTTTAAATTAAGAGACTAAAAGATAGACTGGGGCAAGAATTACATCTGTGCATCGTTAGTGTAGAGACTGTAGCCTAAGTGTCATGAATAAGTGTCCACAGATAAGATGTAGAGGAAGTTAAGAGAACTAACTACTAAGCCTTGAGGAAATCTGCAAGAAGTTAAACAGGGTATGAGGAGAATCCTCTGAAATACATGCAGATGGCGTGACAAAGGAAGAGAACCGAATCGCAGAAAGCCAGAGAAGAAAACATACGTCTACAAAACTGTGAACGATCAAGTTACTGGGTCTTAAGAAGCTGCTGCTTCTTAGCTGGATGTTTCTGCTCCTCGAGTGCTGTTAACATGCAGCGTAATGAATTGAAACGGAAATGATGAGGAGAGTGAGTGATGAGTTACTGTCAGAAAAGAAAGTGCTAGCACATGGCAGGAGTGCAGGGTTGAATGCAGTGCTGTTCCAGAGAATGGGAAGAGAAAAGAGAAAAAAGCTGATAGCAGCCAAAATAGGAGAGGAAAAGATTAATGAGATGTGTTGGGAGGGAGTAGAGTGGAGGGGGAGGAAGGCAGCCAGTGACATAAATGTTGTAGCTGGAAGAGCTGATGATGGCACTTCTCTCTGATCTAGTTTGTCAGGCAGTGGGTGTTTTAAAGTGTCATTATTTCTTGCTGGCACTCCTCTCTTTAAGTATGTGTATACACGTACACAATTACGAAAATATAAATTATCTATATTTAAAGATATAAATTACCTCTGCTTGGGCTCTTGCAATTTATTACAACTGGGAAAATAGAAACCTTTTGTGTTGCATCAGTCATTAGGCTGAACTGTCACTGACTGTAAAGAAAAGCAGGATTTGGTGTGATGTGTTATGTTTGGAATTTCCCAGTTGATAGGCAGGTTAAGGATACTTTAAGGCAGACAAACAATTTTGAGTCAAAACATACGAAAGAGGGAACTGAGAGTGTGCCTACTTAGTCCAAATAGATACATTTTCAGTCACTTTGAACAGTGATGAAAACTGAGGTGCCATCCAAGAAAAGAAAACACTATTCTCCTTGGAAATTACCATTTTATGCTCAGTCAAGAGGTAGGTGTTTCTCACATACCCTTCTTTCATACTTAGGATGAAGTGTTCATTCATAAAAAAAAATAAAAAATAGAATTACTCTTTCAATTCATAACTACTGGAACAACGAAATTATTTTTGTAAGGTAGCGCTCATAAAAAGGAGATCTGTAAAGCAAATGGTGAAACATATTTCCACACCAAGTTTGGATTTTGTGTTGCTTGTAAGCCAGGAAATATGTGTTTATTCGAAAACTCCTGTTATTTACTTTATTTGGGAAATAAAGAACAGTAAACCTCCTGCAGCTTAATCATCTAAATTTTAAGTTATTTTTTAAGACAGAATGCTCTGATAGTGCTTGGATTATTTTTGTTTCTTCTGAACACATAAAAAAGCAAGTGATGTAAACAATTTTTATGCTTCTTGCTAGTTGTGTACAACTGTTAAATATGGCAACAAAACTTATTTGCTGACTTTACAGTTTAAAAAAAGAAGTTAACGTAGTGAAAGCATCGGCAGATTGAAAGAATTGTTACTGAGTGTTGCAAATTAAGACTTTGGCAGTTGAATGTCAATTGATTTTCCTGCACCAATGTACCTGTCAGTGCGCTCAAAAAAAGCAAAGAAGTGCTCATGAAGGAACCTCGAGGACGAAAGTGCTGACATTTTGAAAGAAGTCATATGTGGTGTGTGTTTCAAAAGCGTGGTAATGGGTTTTGTGTTCAAACAAACCCAGAGCAGTAAGTATATTTTTCCATTCTCAAAACCATAAGAATTAAGTATGAAAACACACCAAACCACAGGCTTACTCACATGGTTCGTGGAGCATGTAATAGCTGGCTTTGTCCTTAATAATGGAAGGTTACGTAATGCTGAATATATAATTGGTTTTTTTTTGAATGCTTAATCTTTGTCAGTAAAGCTAAGAAAACTTAATCTCTTAAAGGGCTCAAACTGCATTTATTTCACCTGATATTAGATAAGTACAGCCTCATTGTCCCAATAATTAATTATCTTAATAGGTCAAACTTACATTTGAAACGTCAATATTTGAGCCTGAAGGAACTCAGCAAAGGTGTAAACGGGCACAGTCAAGCATGAACAATCTGGTTCGCCTCTTGTGGGGAGAAGATAGCACGGACCTCCAACAGGCTATACAAGATGTGCCTCATATTGTTATGTTCCTCACACTGAACCTGGACTCTGAAACATCGAAGGATGAGGTATGTGGCTAACTGAGTAAAACTGAGGATGAAAGGTAACAGCCAACAGCAGCAACTGCTATGCCTTTTGATGTACGGGGAAAAAAAATCTCGCTAATCATTTTGAGTAGTGAATAGTCTGTAAAATGTCCATTTTGATAGAAACAAGGCCTGAAATCCAGGGGGGGAAAAATGAGCATCGCTGCTGACTAATTGGACTCTAATTGGACTTGAAATCACTTCAGTGCTGCTGAATGTCTTTACATGAAGTGCAGGCTAGAGGTGGTAACAGACAAAGCAGAGATAATTTCACAAGTTGGTTATTGTCTCTCAGATGCTCACTGTGGTGTTTTCAATGCGCTTCTCAAACTTGAACTATGAAATCTGCCTTGTCAAAAAAAATTTTCCCCAGCAGGAGCTGTTGGCAGTCCACGTACATAATCTGGCTAGCTCCTCCTGTTTTGAAATGCTAACGTGCCTTTTCTTGGAGGACTCTTGCACGTCTGCAATCAGCTCTTAATTCTTGCTTGGGCAACATTTTTGAGCTACCGAAGTACTTTTCCTTTGTCCTGTAAACCTTGCTTTCCTATCTTTTTCCTTTCTATGTGCTTCAGAAAAATTTTGCTGGTGTACATGTAACCCATTGTAAGTTTGTGTAGATGTTGTTCATGATGTAGCCATAGCTACAAATACTCTGCTCAGAATGCACCGTGGAGGGCTGAGCTTGGCCTCTTGCCTGACCTGAAAATGACAAATGCACAGAGTGGACTTCTTAGGAACCGACTTTTGGAAAAAGACTCTTCTCCCCTTCTGTAAATTCTCCTAGGGTTTAGCAGTGTGCCCCAGTGCTCTTACAATATCTGTAATGGGGAGACATCAAATGAAGCACAAGTTTCGCCAGTTCCCAGGGATTGGGGCGGGGGGGGGGGGAGCGGAAGAAAGATGTTTTGCTTTCTCTCCCCTGGAATTAATCCTTAGATCCAGTCGGGTGCTCCATCCCTTCTCTGAGATGTCTTTATGGTTTTTGATACTATTTTTCAACTGATAGAAGTCTGTATTGCTCTCTTGGTGATGTGTAATAGAGGAAAAAGTGTTACAACCACACATAAGAGTTTCATTTTATTCTCTAGAGACAGGACTGGGGAGGAGAACCCTAGAAAATTACATTATGTGATATAATATGCAAAAATTGTTGTGAAGTTTGCAGAGTCAAGTGTTTGAAAGCTAGGAAATGACAGAATTATGGTTATTAATGTAATTTTAATTCAGCCCTTTTGTACTTATGCAGCATGACACTGTCTTAAGTATTACGTTCTTTTTGAAAGATGCCTGTTGTGCAGAGGACAAGATGGACAGATGAGAGTGTACAATTATGGCTTATTAGGCAACCATAAATCCAGTACTTCATATCTCTGGAGTACTTGACTTTGCAATATAAATCATGCTCTCAGCATACTGTTGTTAAGGTAATGTATGCTTCGTTGCATATTACAGCAAGATACTGATACTGTAAGCTTTGGTTTGCAGTTCTTTCCAATCCCATTTAAGAGACTGCAGTTTTTCATGGGAGGTACCTTCAGCAGAGATTAGTTTATACAAGTCTCTCTTATAATTACCACCTTTTTTTATAGCATTGCAACTAGGCAAGGTCATTCTGGGCTCTTTTTTCCCACCTGGAGACTGCTTCCATTAAAGCATATGATACTGCAGTATTTTTCTGCTTTGGTATTTCCCTATGATAAAAATTAAAAGAGCTGATTTAACTGTGAATTAAATAAACTTAAGATGCTTTATCAACGTTCACTTACGTATTCCAAATATTCTTTTATTTTTTTTCTTCAGTTCTAAGTTTGTAGTCTAAGACTGCTGTGTTATGTGGATATTCCAGCTATGGACAATTGCTGTAGACTTAAAGACCAGTGTTTTCTTGATCACATAAACTTTATGAAATATTAAAGAATTATTTCAGGGCCTCTGGCTTCTCTGTTGGTAGGTGAGGAGATATGCAAATGCCTAATTGCAATTCCTGCACTTCAGAGTAAATGGAGTACTGCTTTCTTGCCCCATTATTTCTTTACGCTCTCCCAAGAAACAGGATTAACCCTGAACGTTGAGCAGAGGTAAAAGAGGGATTGTAATGCACTTGTTCTCCCTTCATACCATGGAAGAATTGTTTCCTGAGAAGTCTTGGAAGTTATGCAGCCCCAAACAGCCTCTAATGTTGAGAGATGCTTTGCTGGTGTAATCAAGCTCTTTATAGCATTTCCTAACAAAAGAACGCCGCCCTCTTCAAGGCATTTGTCTTTAATTTCATTTGGTGAACAGTAAGCGACATTTATCCTGTCGATGTGCTGTTCCAGATTTAGTTTACAGTAGGAACTCAAATTAGCAGTGAAGTTGTTACACACCTGCCTATGCCATGTTGCACAATAAAAATGTAACGATCCTTTACTAAGCTTCTTTACCCATATCCCAAGGAGGTACAGAATGCAGATCACATCCATGTAAACAATGGCAACTAGGGCTAGCGACTAATTCTTCCACTTGTGAGCTTTTGGCACCCAAAAATAGAATTAATGAGCTCTAAGACTTGTAAGCTTTTTCTACTCAGCTATAAAGGAAAGTAGTATTAGAAATCATTTAGGATGTGTGTATGCATGTGGGGAGCGTCCCGTATGGGAACAGTTTCAATGAGTAAGGTTGATTTTTGTCTTTTTTTTTTATGTTTTAGTTCAAGGTAGGTATTACAATTATAACAGGTTATTTGTACCAGTATACAACTATAACATCTTTACGTCTTTGAATTGATTTTGACGATACCATGTCTTAAAAGGAATAACGATCATGTTCCTCCTACATGATAGTGTTACTGGAAGCATGTGTTTCGCGTACTTGCAAAGTAAGCACTACTGAGTAGCTGCTAAGATGGCTTCGTTCATGCAGACACTGACTTGTACTTTCTGTAGCATTTCTCTCTGATTTTATAATTTCTGAATTAATCTTTAAGAATTCATAGTTGTCTTTCATCTACGGTTTCGTTTTTAATCGTATGCAAGATGCACCTTAAAGCCTCTATTGTCAGTGCGCTGTATTTGAAGATTATAGGTTTTCAGCTGGTTGGCATCATGTTTGACACAATTTCTTTTAGCCATTTCTTGTGGTGTCAAGACTGCACTTTTTTTTTCCTTAAAATGTTATTTAGGTTCAGTTTGAGAAATTAGTAAAATAAAAATAGGGAAGCTGTTTGATAAGCCATTAGTTTAGATAGTCTGTTCAGGTTTGGGTTTTTGGGATGAGGGAGGGTTTACATTTTTTTCAGAAATGAGCTACTTCTCATTTATTAATTCCATTGTCATTGGCCTATGAACTTTCGCCTTGCTTTGCAGACAGCTGATCTTGTACGGTGGTATGTGCTGAACCTTGCTAACTCATTAATATATATATGTGTGATACAGCTATGACCTTTTGTTACAGTTGTCTTTTCTTTCCCTGGGAAAGTGTACAAATTCTCAAACGAATTTTGTGTAAAGGCCCCAGTTCATAGTGAGAAGAAAAGAAGGCTCGCTCTAGCCCTTTGTACTGCTGTAATTAGAAAATGGCAGGGTTTTTTTCCAGCTGAGGGATTGATTCAAGAAAAAAAAGTCCTTGTCACTAATGAGCATTTGAAAATAGAGCTAATTAAATTGGATAAGAATGAAGAGTTTGCCAGGTCCTTCTGTAATGAAACTTTACATTCTTTTAATCTTGATGAAGGAAAATTTTCTAATGAGTATTGGCACTAACTGGATGTGCTTAGTGACATAAATAGGAAAGTTAATCATGTCTGTGTTTCTTTTGTTTGTGTAGAGAGATAATTTACTCTACCCTTTGCATTGCATATGCTTAATATTACATGCATTATTTCTGGCCCATCATGATTTGGCAGAAAGCAATAAATGTGGGGAATCATAAGTTTGCTTATTACTATATTTTTATGGTTGCTGAAATAATTAATATAAAATTTTTGAAAATGCTTACGTAAAAAATATTTTCAAGAACTTAATAGAAGAAGAAAAATAATTGTCACAAATATTTCTACTGATCTTCAGTTTCAAGATGACCTCTTTAAGAGTATGCTGACAGATGGTCAGAGGTTTGGTGATAAAATTGTTCATGTTGTATATGTTATTTGAGTATATACCTCAGTTATCTTTTGTGCTATATGTGTAAAACAATTAGGTAGGGTTATAGAGAAAGATTGGAATTTTCAGATTCTTATTGTTGGTTTTGAAGAGCTATATGTTTGACTACTGAAATCGCTATTTAAATATTGAAAGAACCATACAAATATTAGCTATCTCTTGGAATCAGATTTGTTAACAGTGTACTTTAAGCTGTAAAATGCAGTGGTCATACTGTTTGTTATTTTATGTTTCTCCATATAATAATGACTCTAAGTCCTACTTTTCTATAAAATAGAAGAGTTAAAATTGTCAGAAACATACATGTGCATTTTAAAACTTTCCAGTATGCCCATGCAGACCACAGCTTGTTTTGATACCATGTGAAAGTAGATAATAAAAGCTTTCATGTTCAGAAAAAGAAAAATTCATGCCAGGAAAAAAATTTGTCATCTTTATTTATGTGGGGGGGTTTTTTTTGTGATTTTGTTTTTGGTTTTGCTTTGCTTAACTAACAGCTAACTTTCTTCACAGCAAGAAATTCTTTATCAGTACCCCATATCAGAAGCATCCCAAAAACTGAAAAGTGTGAGGGGAATATTTCTCACACTCTCTGACATACTGGAAAGTGTTACTGGTACCCAGATTATCAGGTAAAAGTATTTGAAATGTAATATATTACTACTTCTATTATTTTACACGTATGTGTACAGAAAAACACACACGGGTCATGCATCAAGTTCTAGACAAAACAAGAGTGACTCTACCTGTTGGGCAGTAATGTTTTAACTAGAACAGCATGCCTGAAGTTGGACTGCTCAGCCTGGGTATATGTTCATTTGGGGGAATTTCTTTGCCGTGAGCAGCAATGACTAGAATTTTTAGTTCATTGAAATTGTTTTTAGATCCCTTCTTAGATCTCTTAAAACATCCTTATCTAAACTGGGATCCTCTGGCACTGTACTATGACAGACATGAAATTCTACAACAGCTTCAATCAAGTTTTATACAATTTTTTAAAAGATAAAATGTAATTTAGTTAAATTCATGAGTGCCCACTACTTTTAAATTAGTTTTATTTAACGTTCAACTTGTGACAGCTGAAAGATCTTTATATCCACAGACTAGGACTCTAGTAAGAACTCTAGTAGAAATGACTCCTGAGTTTTTGGAGCGATGTAGGGGTGGCAGAGATATGTCAAGAGATTATTGAATATTTAAAGGTAGATGATTTTCTGATGGAATAATTAGAAGTGAGATAGCAGGTATCGCTTCTCAGTTTCACACCTCTCCCCATTGAGAATCAGTATGAGTTTCCGTCTCTTGGGGGGCTCAGGCAAGATTCTCTTCTGCACATCAGTGCCTTGTGTGTCAGACACAAAACCAGGATGGGTATAAAAAAGCCAGATATAAGTGGGATTTCAGGCCTCAGAATACAGAGTGCAGTAGTGAACAGCATTGGCAATAAAAGGAATTCCTTAAAAGGCTAAAAGCCTGTTTAATACGTTTAAGTTGGTTTTCCATTGATAAATTTTTCCTTAAAAAGCGTTCTTGAAATGCTTTTGATTTTTTTGCTTACCAGAAAATTAATACTGGTTAATTTACTTTTGTTTACATTTTGTTTGTTCTAATTTATTTTTTTCTCAGACTTGTTGATATCCTGCTATTTTCAGTAAGACATTTTAACCATGCTTATAACTTTCTAGTTCATAAGTTACTGAAAGTCACTTACTGATTTAATGATCAATAGGAGTGTGGATTGACTCAGTTAGCAGCAGGTATCAAACACAGTCTTCTCATCTTTTGCTCATACCAGTATTTTAATGCAATGCACATTAATTAGCACTGAGGTATGTTAACACCTCTTAAACGCTTATGCATTAGTAATGGAGTTCTTCCATATAGAAGCATTTTTGGACATGTCCAGATTTTCAAACACACCCAAAAGAAAAATCAATCCATTGTATGATGATCTATACCTATGGTATCATCACAAAACCAATACAGAATTCCACAACTTCAGTTCATCTTTCCTGTTAAGGTTCTCAATTTCCCATTTTTGAGTTGTAAAAATATAAAAGCATTTCTGCTGGTCTCTGTGGACTGTCTCATCTCTTCAAAAAATATCACAGATAATGCCCAGCTCTCTATGAAGCTTCTTCTGTCAGAAGAGTAAATCACAGTTATTGTGTCTGTATATGTATTGTGTATCTTTTGGGATGGGGATGTTTATTTCTTTGTAGTTAATTGCATTATAACTATCTAACTTGTTCTGTTTGGAAAGCACTTTTGGTTATGTGAAGGATAAAAATTTTCTGGTGACCTGTGGAAATACTAAGGTATTTCTTAACTAGTGAGATGACACTGTTGTTTTATTCAGTACCATCAATTTTACAATATGGCTGAATCTGTGAAGCAAGTTAATCATAGAGCCATATCCTAAAAATTAAATTCTTAAATCTTTATTGATTAAACTAGTTACCCTTTTTTCACTTTGCAGCAGTGTTATCTTGTTATTTAAAATTTCCAACATGATAGTAAGAAAGGTGGGGTTTTGCTATAAATTCAGTGTTTGAGATACTTACAGACTTTGGTTTTAGCAGCAACCAGTACATGTAATCTGATGATCTGGTGCATAATGTATGGTTTACTGCTAATTAGAACATTGGGTCTAATTCTGTTTCATGTTCTAATCCACTCTGTGGTTCAAATGAAAGTTCTCTCTTCATAGAGCAACTTTTCTAGGCAAGGAGATAGCACGAAAGTTCAAGCTTATGCTTATCACTCGGGTGATGTGTTCAAATACCTCCTGGGCTTCTTGTCAAAACACGTGTGGAGTCTTTTTAAATGATTTTGCGAGTGATTACTATGTTCAGAACCTTCGTTAGTACCTCCAGTTACCTCACTGTGATCTGAAGCGGCATTTGTTTTTTAAGATGACTGTGGGCAAGGAAGACCTTTAAAGAGCATCTGAATCATTCAGAAGATGACTGTGGCACTTCAGTAGCGGTTGTTCATCCTTTATATTTGTATACTTGAAAACATTACTATGGTGTGATCTGTTTGGAAAAGAAATCAGAGTGTCTCTGAGTTTTGTAGTAATTAGTATAATTACCAGTAATCAATATAATTACCCAGCCCAGTTGCATGCGATTTATACATGAGCATAAGACTTTGCATATAAAATACATATAAATCATTCTAGCTTATAATGGTGGCCTTTTATAACTTCATAGTGTTAACAGAACTACTTCTGGTTTAATTTTTGTAGTTCCTCCCTTTTCTTATGTGAAAAACTGGTTCAAGTTGTTTATTGGAAAGAATCTGACAAGCTGCTTGTAATCGGCCTTCCTGAAGAAAAGTGAGTTTCAAATAAAATGTTTTATTTTCTTTTTGATTTGATTTTGTGTCCTATTATGTGTCCTCAAGTTATACTCTTCTATCAAAAAAGCAAGAAAGGGGAGGGCTTAAAATGTACTCTTTTTACTATAACTAGTTTCTATACCCATGATTCCACTTCTTTGATTGACTTTGTTGTTCACATCTTTTATATATACATTGTTAAGAGTTTCTTTTTCATTTCCTCTGAACAGAATAAGGTCTCATTAGATCTCAGAAATACATGTTATCTAGAAAACAGTAATTTTCAGTGTTTGGTAGAGTCAAGCTCTCATTAGAGACTACTGAATGACAGCAGTAATATTACATATTTATGTGTTCTAGGAGGACTTCTTTTCCCCCCCCAGGTTCACTATTGTCTGTGTTATCATGGGCAAGTCACTCGAAGGAAACCTCTCATACAGACTGATGAAGAATTTTTTGTTTGCACTGTATCACTAGTTAAGAATAGAGCACTTCAGAAGATGCCTATGCTTATTCATAGTAAAGATGTTATAAACATAGCTGTACATTTGAAATTTTGTTTTTTAGTGTGCCACTTCCTCAGTTGAGGAACATGATAGAAGATGTTGTTAGGACCTTGACATTTATGTACAGTTCCTTAGGCAGGTGAGTCCTTTCAAAAGTATTTTCTTTTCAGTCACTAATTTCTCATTGATGCTCACTGAAAAAGACAGATGGTGGCATTAATTTTAATGTTTACATGGAATTTCTTTGCATGTTCCTTTATACGTGGACAAAAAACAGAATTCTGTTCTTCTTGCCTTTTTATTTCAGTCTTAACACTAGTAAGACTCTGTTTAAACAGTCTTTGTTACTTCAGAAAGTTTTGTCCTTGATTAGGTTAAATCATTCATATAATCTAAGTCACTGTGGATGTCAACAGCACTCTGCAAATGTTATCCTTTGTGTTAAAGCACTGTCTGCAGAACATACTTATGAATCAGTGTTATATTTTTAATAAAGTAAACACTCCAGACTTCTCAACTTTATTTGGCAGAGTGACTGTCTTTTTCTGCAGTTGGAAATCGCCCAGAAAATTTTCAGTCTGATTGTAACCTAAATAAAATTGCCAAGGTAGGCTATTCATATGCTTGCATTCAATTCAGGGTTAAAGTGTGTATGCCATAGAGAAAGAAAAAGAATAATCTTAATTTTCAAAAGGATGAAGCTCATCACTGTCTCATCTTAAGTTGCTCTAAGACATCTACTATAATACTATACTGCTTTCAATTTTTCTTTGTTTGTAGGTACTGCCTGGATATTAGCCTAGTGATTTTTTTTTTTCTTCATGTTTAAAATTAACGTTAAAAAAAAAAAATCCAAACACAATATCATGCTGTAAAGAGACTTCTATAGCACGGAGGGTTATATAAACAAGCTACAATTTTCTCGATGTTATTCTAACTTGGAGTTCATGTTTGTTCAGTGCTTTTTGCCAGGTGGAAAATGTTTCTCGCCTGGATCATTTTTTCAACCTGTTCTTCCAGCGTGCGCTTCAGCCTGCAAGACTCAAGTCAAATGCCAGCCCCAGTACTCAACACTATGATACCTGCAGCGCGTTATTCTTAGACAATCTCCCAGGCTTGCGCTGGCTGACGTTGCCTCAGGAAATCAAGGTGATGCCATTTTCAGATCTCTCTAGAAAAACTTGCATATCAGAGGTCAGAAAATTGATGCAGGTATCTTCTGCTGTTATTCTGTAATTTACATAAGCGCTTTGCCCATCCCAGACCATCCATTTTCCTACAGGATCCTTTAGTTAAGTGTGGATCTACAGAGTCATTCCCACCGGAAACAGATTGCTATTATGAGTGCAGTTTGATGAGTTTAGTTATTTAGGAATTGAAAGCAAAGGAATTAAACTTTATATATATATATATATATACACACACACGTGTGTGGGCCCCTGTATGTAGCTTTAGGTTTGATTTTGACCATTTAAGTATTTTTCCAGGTAGAAGAAATTACTCCAGAAGTCCATGCGTAACTTGTAATTTAGGAGAGTTATAAATGACTGTTGCAGAATCAAAATAAATACCTGTACATCATTTGTTTGATACCATACAGGTATATTCTCTGCACCACTTCACTGCGTGTGGTTAGTTCACAATTAGAAATTGAGTTGTGCTATAAGCAGTAGTAAGACAAAAGCTAGATCACAGTAAACAGCATTATGTTAAACCTCATTTTCATTACTTTAAGAAGTTAAAATAGGGATTATTAGGATAACTGTTACAAAGTAATATTTTTAAATAAAAATAATAGATTTTATGTGATGGATAATCCCTGCCTAGTCGTCTTTGAATTGGTTTTTCATACACACTACAGAATTGATGTTATTAGACCAAAAGAGATAAAGGTGATATTTTCTCAATTTGAAACAATTGTAACAATTTTTGTACAAGGAGATTTCAGCAGTGGAGTTGCGAGATAAACACATTTCATTTATTCAGAAATTTATGGTATTACTTGGAATTACCTATTAGTTTGAGTTACACAAAATGAAAATTCAAGTCAGATTGAATTATGCAAAATGAAGTCTGCAACACAGGTTGCAACTAGAAAATCTTTGTCTTACTGGGTGACAGATTCTGTAACAGTTCCAGCGTAGTTTGGCTCTGCATAGATAAGCAAGTCCTAGCTATGTTGTACAGTAGGTTTTTTGGTTTTTTGTTTTTTTTTTTTTTTCAAAGCCCCTGTGGATATTTTTTGTTGATTATGATGTCAAATGTATTCTTCACTAACACAGCTGTGCATGTGTTTGTTTAGAAACAAATGACAATACTTCCCTTACTCTTTCAAAGGGCTTGTGGTTTTCAATTTTTTTTCTCTGTTTTCAAGTTACAGTTGGTTATAAAGTGATTTAGCATCACTGCCTAAGAGCTACGTGTTCCATGTAAAGCATTTCTAAACATGTTTTGATCTGACAGTAGGTTCAGGTGTAGATAACTGGGTGTCTCTAGGTGCAGTTTGCTGCTTTCTTTTCAGTTTTACTGCAAGTACAGAAATCGCTGTGTGCTTTCAAGACATGGTGATCATGAAATGATTGCTTTTAAGTTTCTCATTAGAAAGACCTTCTGGGACTTCTGTATGACACAGAGTAGATGAAAACTTTTTTTTTTTTTTTTTTTTTTTCCCCCCCCCCCCCCCCCATTTTCTCTGTTTTCTTAAATGAAAAGCTTTATCCTTGGAAGCCAGTACAGTCCACTTGGATAAATAAAGCATCTACAAGAAATTATTTTTTAGAGCACTAAAGCAAAAAATTTAAGCAGGGCTGAAAATCATCTAAGTACCCTGGCTCTCTCCTGGCTTTTCTTTTTTCCTTCCACTTTCTGTAATCTCATCAGTATTAATAGTTGTTATTCCCTTGTACATTTTATTAATGTTTCTTATTTTAATCCTGTAGAGTTGGGTTTTTTCCCTAATTAAGTTCTCAGCCTCACAGCAAAATAAAGTTAAAAATGAGGCAAAATGAGGCTTCTTCGCTTTATTGAATTTGTAGCAACTTGGGGTAGCATCCATCTCACCTTTTAGAGCTATGATATAAATGACTACAGGTGCTAATCCTGAACTCTTCCTATTATTTAATGGGGGAAAATCTGGTACTTTACTAGTAATTCAACTGCTCGACTTCAGCTGTTTACTTTAGTATTAGATGAATCATGCCTTAGGACTCCTGTGGCTTCATCTGTGTTAAATATAGAGAACCTGAAGTGGAAGGACTAGCTCAAATAGGGAATATCTACGCTGTAGGTATTTAATGAAATGCAATCTCATTCAAGGAACTAAATATATGACTAAGTAGCTAAATACTATTTATATCTGCTGGCCTTTAATGAGGCAGCCGTATCATAAAATTGGATTTCTTTTTCTACTTAGAGCAATCATTTGACATACAAAAAGTCTAATATAGATGGTTCCAATTGATAAGATGATTTTCCATACATCGCATGTACTTAAATTGCAGTTTGGTATTATTTCCTATATCGTCCTTCGTTCAGGGAGTGTTAGATATTGGGCACTGTAGTAAGGCACAGGACCCTTTAGATTATCAGTCATTTCACTTCAGGGCCTAAAGTGGATGAAAGAAAGATTCACTGCATTTCAATTTTCCATCCTCTGGCACGTTAGTGAATCTAGGATTCATTTTTGCCGTTATGATTTTGAAAGATTTTTCAACTCCCCAACTAGGAAGTTGTTTTCCATGTCACGTGAAGAGCTGCTTCCATATCATACTTGAGTCAATACGTGTGTGGCGGTTTTTACAAAACTTCACAGGAAAAAAGAAATCATTAAGATGGAATGATGTTTAGAATATGTTAATCTTGTGATAGTTTGGTTTTTTTAATGAGTATTTGCCATGATTTAATGCAAATGAAACAGCTGGGAAATTTTTAACTTAGTGTTTTCTTTCATGGATGGACCCAAAATATGTGTAAGCTTGTAGATAATATAGTTAAGGCTAATTCTAATTATTAGACGATGATTCTAGTCTGAGCTGACCACAAATTCCATTATCCAAACTTACTTCATGAGCAACAACAAAAGAAATAAACATTCATCAGCAACAAGAAAAGAATTGAACATTGTACTTACTGAAAATAAAGAGGCTGTATGATGGAAAACTGAAAGTGCTTCTCAGAATGGCTCTGCAAAAGGACTGAGTTTGGATGTTTAAAATGACCTTACTTCTGCAGTGGCATATTCTTTAATTTATAGGGTCTTTATTTGAGGATAATATTAACTAGGACTCTTGTGGTTTTCTGATTCTTCTGTTTAATAAGACCTCACGTACAATTTTCATGAAAGTGTGTTTGAAGGGGAAGGGGTGAAGTGGTAAGTCTTCCAACCTTACTATTGACCGGGTTTGCAGAGATTGAGCTCTTTCCACCTTGCCCCATAGGATGTGTCTGGATACATTTTTGCTAAATGTGCTTGAGGCCACTGTGTTGCCATGTTTTTAGTCAGGCTTCTGCTTTTGTGATACGTATGTACGAACACCCTGTGTTTTAGCTACAGAAGTACGTACTTGTGGAGCGTCTCAGAAAAGCTTCTTCCATTCTGCTAAATCTAAATCTGCTACCTAGCTGTAAAATGTAGAGGTGCGCACATGGTCCTGTAATGCGCCCGTCCACTCAATGGCAAAACACATGCCCCGTAACTGAAGGCAATAAAACGTTTATGCAACATGTAATTGTAGAATATGGTCAGTCAGCAACCTAATATATATTTGAAATGCAACTTAGTGCACCTCTAACTGTTGTCACGCTTTTTTTTTTTTTTTTTTCCTATCCAGGAAATGACACTTCTTTTTTTCTTGTATGATTTGGTGATCAATTTTTTTTTTCCTTCCATGCTTTTTTCTTTTCACTCAACTTTCTGTAGAGAGACTTGATTATGCTTTCTTCTCTAGTTTAGCTTGCAGGTTCTGTCTTTCTTGTAAAATTGTAGGTTTTAAAGGGATTTACAAAACAGTGTGGTTTATATTTATGATACTGACATCGCTTTCCAAAATTGTCTGTGATCATCCACATTTTCCAGAGATAGTTTGTTGTTGCAGAAGATGAAATTTCCGGTTAACTTCTGGTGAAGATCTTTATGTTCTGTGAGGAACATAAAACTAAAAATGTCAGTTTGTTGTTGGGCAGAAAGCCATTTAAATTTTAACAGGGGAAAAGCTGAGAGACTGGTTAGTTGTTGACTGCCAGCAGCCTTGCTGACATTTCTCTGTTTGAAAAACTGGCTGTATTTCAATTAAAGGCAGCCTGTTAATACAGCCCAAGAAATTTGTAATGATGGGGTTTAGGTTCTTTTCATTAAATAGCACATTTATGTCATGAACTTCAGTGCCTAGTACCATGTTCTTTAAAGGAAAGTATTTTTAGTAAAACTTCCATTAACCAACAGCTCTTGTAGCTACAGAAAAAAGCAAGCTTAAAGCGGTTTTAGTGGAACAAAGATAATGTGTGAGAAAGTTTTGGCAATTTCCATACGGACAAAAACTAAATCCATTGTGAAAAAGATTTTTCTAATAACTCAGTTGGATGCAACAGCTTGCCAGATTTAGAGTTGTCTCTAGCCTTCAAGGGGTAGTCTCTAGACCTCATGTTTTAAAGCATGCTGAAAGTAAGAGTGACATCTCCTTTATACCGAACAGAGGGTTC